ATTTAAAAACTATGCGAACAGAACGGTGTAGAAATAGGCGGCGGGTTGCATCGGTTCCGCTAAGTAAATACGCTGTTAACGCGGACGGAATAAAAGTGTTGTTACCGATTTTTCGTTCCACTCTTGCAGCGTATCGGAAGACCTTTCGACCTGTTTCGATAACCTAAAAGTCAAGGGTACTCGCTCGCGCCAAAGTCCCGAGGCTTCGATAATCTTCGGTAAAGGGGAGGACGGCGCCGCGGAACGAGAGGAAGGGAGATAATCAAGAAAGTACGGTGGAGCGTATTCGAGTGTTCGATAGGGTTGAAAAATCAAAGAATAATTAAAGGCAATAGGATCTGGAGACACGCGAACGCGGGTTTTGTTGGCAGAATATACTTCCCGTTTATTTTTTTCTCTCCTTTCTCTGGTTCGATACGTGCACGAGGCACGAACGCGAACACTAGCGTTGGAAAACGAACCACCCGTTGCATTACCCGCTTTGTGGTGGTCGTGCTCTTTTGATCTACCCCATAATTAATCCGCGGAGGTAACCGGAGACGCGTATGGGCGCACCGGGACCCACGGGGCCGGCTCATTCACCGACGAAACTCTGGACCGAGTCATTGAAAGGGTATCGGATAAGAGGGGGGCATAAACCGAGGGAGAGAGAGAAGTGGAGAACGGGTGGAAGAGGGGAATCGGTGATTAACATTTTCATCAGAGCCGAGTCACGTGCCGTGCGTTTTGTATATCTAACCGTAATGATCGCCGCGACAATACGACCGGTCGACGAGCAAATATCTAATCGTAGGAAAGAACCACATCCCCGTCCACGGAAAAATTCGAATCGCTCGAAAGAGACTCGTGGTTAATGGAGTCCGCGCGTAATTTCGTATTCGCGAGGATCGTTAACGCGGCAGCTGCCACGCTCTACCGTTCCCTTCCACGAACGCGTTTATTCGAACTTTTGCGAGGAAACTTGGAACGATAATCTTCGATGCCATCTGCGGAGTATCGCGGCGATACGAGCCTCTTAAGAACCGCTTTCACCTTTTGCTCGTTCTCTCGCGACTGCGGGCAATATCGTTCGTCGAATCGCGATCGACGCATCCTCCGCGGAGATATTTGCATCGGTCGCAGCTGCAACCGGCCGGTAAACTCGAACATTTTTACGACCGAGTTCAAAGTGCAAGCTGGTTGCCGACCCATCTCTCGTCCACCGAAAACTCGCTCCTGTCTTCCCTTCTCACGAATTAATGCAACTCTCGGCGGCTCGTTAGGGACGTAGCAAGCTGAAAACAACCGACCATCCGACGACGAACTTTGAGTTTAATCGTGGCGCGAAAAAAGAAATCTCGCTCGTGTCCGCGGCCGTTGCGCAACCGGGGAGAAAAGGTCGAGCGTGCGCGACTCGTCGTAAACGAACGCGAGATTAGCGCAAAAACATACGTACAATTACGCGATATTTCTTCGACTCGCGTTCTCGACCTCGTCCTCCTCGTTATCCGCTCGACCCGTTCGCCTTTTTCTCTTCTTCGTCGTCGCTCGTAATCTCTCATTCTCCCGGGCTTCTCCGCCTTTTTCCTTTTTCACCTACGTAAAAACCGATCGCGAACGGATCGACACCCTTCGAGGAATCGAATCGTTTACGTAAGCGTCACGCGTTTTCGGCTGGGTAACGTCGTTTCGTCGGAAGGTTCGTTGCGAGGGGAAAACGAGCGGGTCTCTCGGTCGAGGTACATATAAGTGACGGTGAAAAGTGGAAAGAAGGGAGAAAAATCTCGAGTTTCCAGTGGTCGCGTCGCGCGTCGCGAGGCGCACGTGTTTCTATCCTTATCATCGGCTAGTAAATTGTTCCGAGACAGCTTAGAATCCCCTTGACCCGCGTGACACGATGAAAAACATCTGTCGCCGTTGCGCTGGTACGCGTTCCTCCTCGCGTAAAAAAGAAGCCGAAAGGCCGAGTATAATTTCGATCGGGACGAAATGGAATTACGAACGGAGAACGGATAGCGGAAGGTATAAGACGGTAGGCGAACGGGTCGAACGGGTCGTGAAATGGAAGAGAAAGAGCGAGGCAAAGGGAGAGAAACTGGCAGAAGAGAGGAAAGAGGAACGGGGGGTGAAGAGAAAGGGGGAGAGAGTACGCCTAAAATAGGGAGCAATAAATTGTCCACTATCTTCGCTGGGTTAAACACATTAAAGCGTCTTGAGATAAGGCTGGCTGGCGGCCCGTTTGTTCACGGGGTTCCTGGCGACCGGCATGAAGGACTGCAACGCGTTATCCGTGCCAGGAAAAGAGAGGAGAACAGGGTGCAGGCGTGCCGGTTCGCGAGGGATGGCAGAAATTTTTCCGAATTCGTTTCTCTTCTCGCGTCATTCTCGCGTCGAAGAGGAAAACTCGAACCGGAGGGTAATTTGTCCGGCGTTCGAGGGGTTAAGTCGAAGTTCGCGAGAATAATGGAAGCGACAGACGGCGACGGTTTAAGAGAGCCCCGTCGAAGAAGAAGAAGAAGGAACTCGGTTCCCTCTCGAATTTGCAATTACTCTGCAATTAAGAAACGATTATTTTGCATAGACGAGAGCGTGGCTCGAGGCTTGAAGCGCGAATCGCACCGCGTGTCACCAAGAACTTACGCCCGACTAATATTTTAACGAGCCTCGTAAACCGATTCCAAGAGCGAGCCGAGATCTCTCGCCTCCCTCTTTCAGCCTGCCCCCGCCCAACCGACACCCTCCGACTGAACGAGTAAGCCGTTCGAGGAAAAACGTATTTTGCATATTCACCCCCCGTCGCGTCGCGTCGCGGCCTGCGCTGACTAATATCTTCGAAGCGATTAAGCCTTCGAAAGCTGGATCGTCCGACGATTTCCACCGGCTTCGCCCGCGCTCTTAAGCTTCGAAAGCTAGCCGCTTCGCGACTTTGACGCGTTCCTCGTCCACCGAGGCCTCCCTCCCGCTCTTTTATTCCCGAAAAACGGCTTTTCCCCGAAGGGACGCGGCTTCTACTTTCCGTTCCACCCCGTAACTTTTCTCGTCCAGATATTAACGTCGCTTTTTTTACTGCTTCCGCGAACGGAGGGTGCTTCGTCGCGAAAATACAGCAAAGTCCGCGAAACCGTGCGTCAAAGTCCTCCGCGTGATTTTCGACTGTTTCGTTTCTTGGAAAACGATTAAAACGGATCGAATCGAACGAGTTCAAGTATGTCGGAGCGAGCAGGATCTCTTCGCACGATCGGAGAGTATCATCGTTATTCTCGGAGAGCTCGCCGAGACTCGGAGGTTGGACTCCAAGACGAATCAATTACGCTGCGAGCACGTACAACCGTTACGACTGGCTGTAAACGTGACTCGCGAGCCGCCCGTGACAGATATGGAGCAACTGGCACGTTCGGATGCGGATCCGGTCCTCGACGCGCTTCCCGTCACCATCGAGTTCTTCCTCGACACCGCTTTCCACGTTTCGCATCGTTAATCGACGCTAATGAACCGAGTTACCTTGACAATTTTCACCTTCCCTTTCGAAGGACCCGCTTACTATCGAACGATAACGAAATGTCGAAAGAATTGAAAAGAATCGATATAGCCGCGGTATCGAAGGGTAGGAAGAGGCGAGAAAAAGGTACGCGGAGAAATGTGGGCTAGCAAAGAGGTGGAAAGAAAGGAAAGGAAGGAAAGAGGCACACTCGAGGGCTCGGTGGAAACGCGGTCGGTACCGGGAGGAAGAGCCGGCCGGGGGGTTACCGCTAAAGAGGCAATTACGAGACTCCTCGGTAGAAGATGCTCGTAAAAGTTAGAGCGAACGAACGAACGAGAGGAGGTCTTTAGGAACGGGACGAGATGAGAGGAGTGGAGACGGTACGAGACGAGACGAGACGAGACGAGATGGGACGAGAATAGAGACAGGCACGATAAAGGCGAGACCGATCGAGCCCTCTCGGAGATTTTGGCCCGAGGCGGCGTGTCATCGGTTCGCTCTTCTCCTCTTCCATCGGCTGAACCGTGCCCAATTCACGGACGGCTAGAGTCCGACGAATCCAGATCGCTTTCGAGCTTTCGAAATTTTACGACGCTCGAAACAACGACTTTGCTTTAAGTAGAAAACCAGTCAATGATCCGACGCGAACGAATTTTTTCGGAGAAACCTCTTTTGACCGAGGGAGAAGACAGCAATCTAGAATCAAGGGTGGTCGACCAAGGGTGGATTGATCCGTGGTCATCGTACGACTCTCTCGATACTCTTTCGACTTTTACTTCGCTCTCTTTTTCTACCTCGGTTACCCTCACCCTGAACGCCCGATTCTTTCGTCCCCTTTCTCTCATTTTTCTCCGTCACCCTGCCGGCCCCGCACGACCCTTCAGCCTCGGACCTCTCGTCTCGTTTCCTTCGTCTCCGCGTACGCACGGGTCTATGTACGTGTATAGGTATGTCGCTCGGAAGCACTCTAGGCTCCTTCGGTTCTCCTATGTACTATCAAGCAACCACCGGTCCACCCACTTCATTACAGCATCCCGACGAGAACGACAATGACAGCGAGTACGTCTACAACCACTATTCCCCCGAAACTTTCCCTTCGACTGCGCCCTTAAGTGAAATCCTGGCATCAATCTTGCTAACGACCTAGGATTAACGCTAATTTGTCGACCGCGCGATATTACCGAATCGCCGAGATATCTCCGCCGACTCTCCCTGCGCACCATCTCTCGGTCGTTTCTCCTTCTACCTCCTTCCGTCGTCGCTTCGATTCAACCTCTCAGCTCTTTCGTTAATTTGCAAACGCGTCGCTCTTTCGTTCGAAGAGAAATTATATTATTTGAACATCCCTCGAAATAATAACGCGCTTCCTCTAGTTTCACGAAAAGAGCACGTCCGAGAGATGGGTGCGCGGTAGTCGAGAGCGTCACCCGCATGTTGGATCTCGTTCAAGATCTTTCTTTCGGTGACACGTAGCCCCGAAGAGAGATCCACTCGAGCCTGCTGATGACGCGGATTACGACAATGAGTTTTCGATGCTCACCTGGCTTTCTCGTCCAGAGTGGCGAACGTCGCCCCTCGAATTCTGTCGCTGGCGCGAAAGTCTTCCTGCGGAAAAGGGGGACATCACCGTTCGAGTTCGATCTTCCAAAGTCCTTTCCCTGTAAAAAAATCCACCGTTTCGTTAACGAATTTCGTCGCGTCGCGATGTTAATGGAATCGTCTTGCGCATCGTTTTCCATCCAACAGAGAGAAATTTCTCGTCGCGTTTCCGACCACGACGACAGCAGAAACAGCACATTCCGATTCCGATACACGCGTATATAAGAGCGGTGAATAGTCAAGATCCGTTAGGCGTTTCCATGCCAGAGATATCATTGATCGTGTATCGGTTTGACGCGTGACGCAGATAGCGGCCAGTAATATTCTCCGTCGAGTCGCTTTTCTACCTATCGACGATGCGATTCGATGCGATTCGATTCACGGTTCGTCGTTCTTTCTCTTCCCGTGTCCGTCTACGGTCTACCGCGAGCGTATAGATAAGTCGGGAACGATCGGTTGCTGAATTTTCTGTTCCGTTCTTCTCTAATAAATTTCCCGACGAAGACAAATTGTTTTCGCGTCCACGCGAACAGAGGCTGAGAAAGCGTCGTTACGAGCGACGACGATACCTAAACCGCTTGCTATTCCGTCGCGTCGCTTCCTTCGATCGTATTGCCGCACGTAAGTTACGGCAACGATCGTCCGCTCGGTGTTCCAGACAGATGGAAGGGACGTAACGCGTAAGTAAAGGCCGTGTCGCGGTGCAAGAGCCGCGCGACGGCTATTTCTGAATCTTTAGTCGGTTTACAAGTAGCGGGGTCACGGGCCGGCCCATAAAGAAGCATGACTTACATTGCTGCTATGTGGGCGCGCACCGCGAAACTCTCCCATCTATCTGCGGAGCCGAGCCACGAACCTTGCCAACCGTGGCTACCATGGGCAACCAGCGAAAATGGTCGTGGTCGATGGTAGCCGTGGAAGATGAAAAGGGTAAAAGGAACGCATTTTCTTATCCGATCTGTGGACCATTGACGCGAAGAGGAAACGCGGGAAAGTAGGGCAAGAGGAAGCGAACGAGAAACGATAAAGGAGGAGAAACGGGCAGAGTATCGAACAGACAGGCAGGGTATTCTATCTCGAGTTTCGCAGCCACGCTGTCTAGAGAGCAAGAGAATCGAGAGAGAGGAAGAGAGAGGCGAAGCGAATCTCTTCTGGTTACGCGAACGGTACAACTATAAGGAAGAACCTCTTAATCGGGGACCCGGACCTCTACAGGGCACGGAGGTCTAACCCCCGTTGCTCTCGGCCGTCGTCGGTGTATCTCGAACGGGCTGACCTCGGCACCCCACCATACGTCCGAACGTCGACGATCGGCAGCCGAGAAACTTGCGAGCAACGTTTCCCCCGAATCCACTTTCTCTTGCTTTTTCTCTCTAATCTCCTCCTTCCTTTTTCCTCATCGTCTTTGTTTTCTCGATCTTCGTTTATAACTGGTCGTTTCAAACTTTTTAAGATTCAAATTAAAAGAGCTTTCAAAGATCGTTAGGCTAACGCGTCGATCGGTCAAGATGGTTGGAGCAGGGAACGAACGAACGAACGACGAAGAATAGGGGATCGAGGGAAGCGAACGGGGGTGGGATTGTTGGCTAGCTAGGCGGGGTGTAGGTATCGCGGTAAGCCGCGCGGTGGTTTGAAGGGGGTGCGGGTCGGGGTAGTCCGGGCCACCAGGGGCCGGGACCACAATTACACAGAGTGCGGTGCCGCAAAGCCCTTTCAGCCTCTCCTCCTAGAGAGATGATGGATTCGCGTTGTCTTTCCAGCCTCCCCGGCACATTGTACGCTCACCGGCCCGTGTCGTCCTCTGTTTACCGCCGCGTCTACGTGTACGCTTTTCGAGAATTGCTCGTTTCAATGGAAAGGAAGAGTCACGGGAACGGGGCGCGCTTGCGCCGCTACCCCTATCTACGCGTAAGCCTAGACGAACCTGCTCCGAAAAAAGGAAGAAAAAAATGGAAACCGTCCATTCGAAGAAAATTTCTTTAATCCCAGGAAAGGGGTGAAAGGCAAGAAACTTTTCGAAACGACAGAGATACTTGAAACGGAGGCTACATCGTGTCGCGTTGTTCCATTGTTCATTTTCCACGCGTGTCTAACCAACCGCGTCCCTTCCAATCTTTCACCCTTTTCCTCGTGTCGCACGGTAACGTCTGGCCACGCTGCTAGCCCATGCTCCCTATCATACGGTCCATTGAACGCTCCACTTTCCTACCATCCTTCCTTCCTACTCCTTTCCTCTTCTCTTCTTCTACCGATCCTCGATCGCGATCGTAACCCATCGAATTCCATTAGTCGCCGCTCGACTTATACTCGAAGATACATCTAGGAAGCAACGATCTATGGATCTACATATGGATAGGTGGTACGCGTAGTACCGTTTGTCAAGCGTGTATACACGTCTGGTGTATTCGCGTTTCAACGGAAAAACCACAAGCCGGTCGCGACCGCATCGAAACGGAAGAGGTAAAGAAGAATACCAGGGGGATGAGGTGGAGCGCGTGCGCGTATTCCTGCTTTCTCTTTCAGGATGAACAAACGCAGATGCAAAAGAAGTCTCTGAATGAGCGATGCCTACGGACAGTATGGAGCTTCTCCGTTATTAGCATCTACTCCGGTCTCTCTGGTTGTGCCCGTGTCCGTGTGCCGCACACTTGGAACGAAAGGGAACAGAACGGTCATTATGGAGATTGAAACACCGTTCGGTAACGCGTTCGCTCATTCTTTCCTTCCTTTCGTTTCGCTTCGTTTCCTTTCCTCTTTCCTTTTCTTTCCACCGTCCTTTCCAGCATCCTATACTCGCGTTCGCCACGCAATCATCTCGCGAATAAAGAGATACGTTACGCGACATTGTGGCGAACGTACAGCCCTAGCAGCGACAGCGACACATTTTTTTCTCGCTTTTCCGTTTCGATTCCACTCGCATTGGGTTTTCTCGATTTTCGCGATTCCAAAGAAGAACTTTGTTGCCTACTTATATACGTACAGATACGAACAGGACAATGGCTATCGGTTCGGGTTACGGGTTACGGGTTACGGGTTACAGGGACCGGCTGAGAAGGCAAAGTGCTCGGCATCCAATATGCAATAAACATACGAAGCTTTGACGTATTTAATAGTAACGTGGTCGTATAACGCTTGACACGCATGGAAGCTTTTATGGGGGATGGGTGGTATCTCTCGAGCCGACCGACCCGACCGTGTCTCTCTTTTCCCACGGATCGGCACGTCCGTTTGCAGACCGACCGATCGGACATCGTCGAACCCTTTCGACTGAGAATCGCTGCAGCTATGCCTTCGCAAGTCTCGAGCGTACCGGCTCTCGCGTTTTCTCCACCGCTCTCCTCTGCTCTCCTCCGCTATCCTTCGCCGGAGGAATATAGCCCGCGGTTAATTGCGTGTCTGCGCCCAAAGAAGGATCCTTAGGTTGTGCGACGGCCGTTCGATCCTCGCCAACGGACTCGACCGCGTCGTACAATCAGCGAAGCTTCGCCAAACGAACCGCTCGATCGACCGAAGCGAAACGCGTTTTCGTCCTAACGAGTTTCGCCGATCGACCAATTCTGACGCGTACGTCGTTTCGTTGTCGCAAGCTACGAAGACGATCGGCAGATTTATCGGCGAAAGGGAGAACTGCATAGTCGTATCGTAATCTCGCACCGATGAAGATAGCCCCGCATCGATAACGGATCCCGATGAAATTGACACGTCCATCTATCATTCGACATATGCATGGCATGCATGGGAATGGACGAGAAGGCCGGTGCGCCGGTGTGCCGGAGCCCTGACCATGCATAATTCAGGATATCTCTGTAGACCAGCCCGAAATCTCGAATAATACACCGGCAACTCGGTCCTTCTTACCAAAATTTTCCTCTACTCGATCCTTCCACCACGATCGAGGTTTCAACAATTTTTCAAGGGAATCGATTTACGATAAATTTCATATCCCCTTACGCCGTTCTTGATTCTTTTAAATGCGCGGTATCATGCATATTTATACCGGAAATGGACGCGTATGCTTAAACGATAGCCACCTCCTGACGCGCTTCCAACACCCTCGTAAAATCTAATCTTTATCGTCGACTCGAAATCATCCTGTCCGCAACCACCCCCTATTTTTCGAATCCTAGATAAGTATCTTCCTTACCTGCGCGCCTAACCCGAACCCCTACCACGATCCTCGCTACTGCCTATTCCCTTCGAATCGACTTTCGACCGGTCATCGATAAAAACAAAACTCGTAACAGTCGAAAGCAAGAGGAAAATTCTCGCCTTCCCGGTGTCCGAAATCCGGTCGAGAATTAAGTACGAATGTTCATTCCCCGACCCTTGTCCCAATTTCTTCCGACCCATCGAATATTCCGCACGATGAACACTTTGTGTCGGTGAGTCCTTCGCACCGGTCGACCGACCCGGACGAGAGTGACCCGACCTCCTCTCACGATGTCCCGGTCAACTTGTCGTTTTATTTTGGGCGTGACGAGAACGAAGGAACCGTTGCGTTGGTCGCGGTTCTTTCGACTTGAACGTTAGATCGATTCGAATGCCGAATCGAACAGTTTCGAAGCGTAAGCGTAAAACGCGTCCCGCTAGAATCGGACGGATATTATACCGTGGCCTAAGGGTAGGAATCGAGCCGCACTTGCATACGTAATAATGGCATAAAGCTGAGGGGTGTCCTTTAGTCAGCCGGCCCTTTATGCAGGAATTTTAGTATAAAGCTGACGAAATCACAGGCTGCGGGTTTCCCTTCTCGTGCGAACCCCTCCCCACGGCAACGACAGGAAATCCAAATGGTCATCGTAAATAGAAAATCCGTTTTTTCCTCCTGTCCGCGTGCGAAATGCCAGGAATACGAGTATATTCGTCGAATCGACGCGGTCTCCCTGTCGCGCTGCTAGGACTCTGCCGTTGGGGTAACGTCGATCAACCCCTGAGAACGTGGCTTACGAACGCGTTACCGCGTCCAAACTGCGTCCTCCTTTGTATTTCTATTTACGATTTTTCCCTGAATTCAAAATACGCGTCCGTTCGGATCGGTTGCCAAACGACACGGAAAATT